CGAGTGACTAGATTCGCGCTCGCGCCGGGTGTACAGAGATTATTGCGCTGAGCCAGATAGTCGTCGGGCGGTCGAAAGCTAGGAAAAGCAAATATTCCAAACTCGGGGAAAATCACACTTAAAATTATTAAAATTTATAACTAAAACCGAGGAAGCATAGTAGATATCGCGAATGCAGCGAAAGATAGGAAATTTAGATATTAAACGGTGCGACATAATTACGTCATTTATAATTTGGCCGGAAATTTGAGTAGAATAGCGTAAATTAACGTCAGAGACGCGTTAAAACAGATAGGGGAGAAAATTCTTAACTAAAATATATTCAAAATTTAATTAAAGTATATATTATATTTTGATGATGGAGTATGAATGGCAACATGCAAGCGCGAGTTTCTCGTTTTCATCGAGCCAACTTTGAAAAGCCATCTAAGTAAATTTAATAATAATTCTGTTGAATATTTAGTCAACAAATGTGTGAAGCAAAGCATAACTGCTTGTTTTATAAGTCAAGAGAGATGAGAGACTAATTAGAAGTCGATATGGCAAGATTTTCCTTCGCGCCCGATCAATGATCGACTTTTCTACTGAGCCAATCTCTACCGGTGAGAACTCTACACACATTTAATACTTCAAATAAAGTATTTGTCGTAATTATGCATTATTATCCGTATGGATATGCATTGACCATGAAAAATATATCTCTCTGGAAAATTCAATATGTACGGTAATTGCTGTTGACAATTGTTGTATATACGATCTTTCATTTTCGCTGAAAACGGGGCTTTCGATGGACCGTCACGCGATTGTATTTACATCGACACGTGCGCCCAATTGTCAAGCCAAAGGCGAGAACCCTCTTTATACGACAATATGGTACCACTTAACTGTGCGGCAAACACTCGACGCCTTTTACTGCGGGTATCTGCTGCATGGGAAAGTGCGGGTGGACGAGTGCGGTTGCGCGCGCGCGAGAGAGAGAAAGAGAGAGAGAGAGAGAGAGAGAGAGAGAGAGAGAGAGCGACAACGAGGCGCATACAGACAGACCGTAGAAGTGAGAAAGAGCATTAGTCGAAAGGCCATAGAATGTCCATGTCGCGTTTCTATCGGGTGTCACGTTTCGCAGTATCAACAGAAAAAAAAACACGGCACGCTCGTCTGTCGGTGTAGGAGCACTTCCGAATGAGCGAAATTCGACGTCCGATAGTTGACGATGCTTTCGCATCGACCATCGTGATTACGGCGGTCGACGGCAATGTGCTACGTGTCGCGTCGCACCCCTTCGCTCTCTCACTGTAGTTTTTTGCGTGTTTTAACCCCGTCGTTCGACCAAACGAGGAGCTCGACCGGGAGAATTAAATCGTTCGAAGCTCGCATTTAAAAAAAAAAAACAATCACCGTGTGGACGTGACAACGACGATTGTCGAAATATATCGTGAAACGGTGCAATTTCGACAGAAAATCCAGCAGACGGAATCAAGAAAATTCTTTTAAATAACTAATTATGGGTAACTTGCAACAAGAGTGATTTTTTAAACTAAAATAGAGAATTCTAATGGCGGTAACTGCAGACTGATATGTCATTATGCAGCGGATCGAAGATTACAACGATTGTAATCAATAAAGATAGAGACATTACAATATACAATCAATTAGAAAGATTTTTCGATGTAAAAAGACAACAGAATATATGTCAGTGCTTAAGAGAAATTTATCGCAGTTAGATCCTTTTATATAGGCGACGTGAGAACGCAGGAGGAAGCTATATGGAAGCCGCAGCAGCGCGAAAGGCAAAGATTCGCATGAGTTTGGACTGCCTAAGCGCTTCTTAAAACTTCCCGTAGTCGTAGCCGAGTGCGCTTTGCGAGCGGGAGTGCAGTGGCTTTGGTTCAAGCGTCTGGACGACCCCGGGCTCTTTCACAGAGTCTCTCTCTCTCTCTCTCTTCCCTCTCTTTCTGCCGGTAGTACTTCTCTGTCGCTCCTTTGCCCGACATGCCCGACCCTTCAACATGCGAGACGATGTATACGAGAGTGTGCACTCAAAAGTGTATTCACTCACGTAGACACCAGGATCTTGATGTCTTTACGCGAGCCGGGATGCATTCACGCCAACGAGGATTCTCCCGGGATACCCGGCCCCCGACGATTTACGAACAAAAATAAAAAAGGAGAATAAGGCTCTTAAGGATTTCTTGGACGCTCGTCAAAGATTTCCTAGATTTTAGCCGGGAACTACTTCCTTTTTAGTATTACGCTCTATGTGTCTGAACGTACAAAACGCTTAATGCTCCCCTCCTCTTCTCCGTCTCACTGCCTCTGTTCCTTTAAGTGCTGTCTTTTAGATATTGTAGCCTGCTCGTATGCAAATGTGCTTCGTATGCAACGTCGTTTTAATTATAAAATGGCAGTTTTAATCAGGATTTTGTTCACATCTTTTTCTGTACTTACTTTTTTATAATTATACAGCGATACACGATTTAATTTTTCTTATGCGTGTGTCATTAAAAAAATTACTTTAGCTTCTTTAGATTATTATCTCTTAATAGAGACTATTGCAATATTGCAATACACTTGTTACACTTCATAATCAATTTACGCGCAACTTATAACTATCATTGTTATTAGGATAACGAGTTTTCAAATGTTCCAATATCCAGCGAGAGCCAGTAACACTTCCAGTTTCGTAGTAGCGAAGTAAATCTCGCGGAGTTTGAAGCATGACGATCCTTCACCTTCGACTACACTGCATCCCCGATGATAGAAGGTCATATGTTCTCCTGTCAAAGTTCAAAAGCTTCGATCCAACTTTGAAGTTTCATTGTCATCCATTACCGTTCAATCTGGGTGTTCTCTGGTGTGAAATCGCGACCGCAAAGAATGGCTCGAGGAAATTTCCTACGATCGCGAATTTCCAATTATTCCCAATTTAATGTCTTAATTTCTCGCGAAAATTATTATACACATTTATGTATAATAACAACAATTAAATTGATACTTCAAGAATTTTGGCAACAAAATAACCAATGAAGAAATAAAAGGAATGATGTAATGTTTTCGTATCATACAATTAAGAGAAGGAAAACCACCGTTTTTAATTTCCGTTCGTTTCCTTTTTGTGTACATGTCTTTAAAAACTCTCTACGGATAATCTATTAGAAGCAAGGCATCTAATGCGCCCGCACACATATACAGTTAACTCTACCACAAGACGAATGTATCTTCCGTAAAGCTAAAAAGATCTTTCTTTGTCAATGTGCTCCGAGATCTGACAATTCTATTCTCCGCAAGCTCGCGTTCTTCCGTTTTATCCAAACTGCAATCAATCGGCAAATCTTTCCTCTCATCCTACCGTCGACCATATCGGAAGATGACTGACAGCCAAATATCACGACAGAGTCAAAAGCTTCCTCAATTTTGCCGAAATGAAGCGTCGTAAAAGATGATTGAGATACTCCGCGGTAACAGTACAAAGTTGGCAGTACGAGATTCTTTCTTTCTTTCTTCAAGCGTTCTCTAACAAATGCCAGAAGAAAAGAGCGCCGATTCATTTGACTCGAGAGATCGACGTTCACGTAGATTTATCTGTATCTCTATGTCAAGTATGTAAATGAGAATATTAAAAAATGCGATGCCGGACGGGATTATACCGGGAGAACACTGGCTTATTACGCTCCCCCGCCGCGACTGCGATTAAGGATCTTTTAATTAAAGTCCAGACGATTTTCCATAAAGTTCCGACTTTTTCCCTGCGATTATTCGTCATTCAGAATGAAAAACTAAATTAGATCGCCGCGCGCGACAATACACCTATCGAATCGATCGCTCGCTCGCTCGCAGAGAGAAAGAGAGAGAGAGAGAGAGAGAGAGAGAGAGAGAGAGAGAGAGAGTGCGTCTCTGCACCATAAGAATTAATTTAAATTCCTTTAATTAGACAAGAGCGCTGCTTCAGCGCTCGCAAACGTAGTTACGTTTTAATTACTTTTCTTCGGACAAAAAAGAGGCTATGACACGCAATCCGGAAGAAAAAGAATAAGATTGCGATTAGATCTGTGATTTAATTGATTGAGCGGCCGTATAATGAGATTACACAAATACAATTCGATATTTCGCACCTGCAGTTTTAAAAATTAAAAAAGCGCCGGGAATTAAAATGTCTAATACAACCGTTTTGTCTTAATAGGCTAACGCGAGACGAATGGTTCGAGCACTCATGAAGTTGTAGATAAAAGAGAGCACGAAGTAATTGCATTTGCATATGAACTCTGCGACCCACCGCGGCGCTCCCCGGCGCATCGATCTGCACGAATGACCATACATATTGCATTTAAATAGAATTTTTGATAGATCTCTCCGCCGAGAATAAATGCGGCACGTCGTAATAAACACAGAAGTGACAAATAATTAAAAATGAATTATTTCATAATTCGACAATATGCAGGTATCTTAATTTTTCGCATAATAAAGATATATAAAGATCTATTAAACTACATATAATGGCACTTTTTTTAGTAAAGTGGCATTCCATGTAATTAAAAAAAGGCAAAAAACATATTTGACAAAAATCTATACACTCTGTTAAACAAGACCTTGCTCACGTTAACGCTTTTATGAATAATGATTCCGTTATATATATTCGTCGACTCATAAATGGTGTGCGTATCATTAAAGAAACCTCCTGGCGTGCGTAAACGGGTTAATTGTATGTCATGAAAAAAAAAAACGGATTCGCGCGATAAGCCAGGCTCGAGGCTCGAGAATACGCAAACGATTGCGAAAGTCACGGTAAGTAATGACTGCGTAAATTTGCAATGATACCCTGCGTGTACAGCGACAATTATTTCAATCGCGGCGCAAGTAATTCGAGAACAGTATACTTACGTAAATTATTTCAATCGAATCCCGCGACCGCTATACGTAGGTAAGTAATCACGTAAGTAATATCGTGTGGATATGCGAGTGCACGCGAAATTCGCAAGTGAAACGATACGTAAAATGGCGCTTACCCAAGCTGAATCCGGAATCCTTCACGTGGATGACCACCATCGGCATCAGTACCATCACAACGAGGTTTATGACGTGGAACACCATTCCCGTGCCATGAGCTATGATATCCTGCGACAGAAAATAAAGAGATACAAAGTTACAGCAGGAAGTGGCTTACACACAGTGCACAGTGCGTAGCACACAACGTCGCCGACGTTGGAATGTCGGCGGAGGAGCCGAAATGATGGACAGTGTTTTACAAGCAAATTCCGTATAAGTACAAGCTACTTAATGCAAAGAACAGAATATTTAACGTGAATTTGTTTTAAAAAATATTAGATATTTTGCGAGGAATTGGCTGCTAAATTGAGAAAATTTTGAGAGAAAGATGTGTACCTCGATAAAATATTATCTTATATATACTAAAAAATTTATTTGGAATATTTTTGTCCTTTGCATTTCGAATTAAGATAAAAGATATATTTAAAATTGCAGCATCGTTATAATAATAGCTTTCTCTCATAAATATCGAAATGAGACATTTATAATTTACATTCTTTAGCTTTATGTATTGTACTTAGGTGGCGATCGTGGCGCAAGGAGCTGCGTAGCAGCCTTCTGTGTGCCAAAGATCCAGATTTATATCCACCCAAAACAAATTTAACTCTAAAATCGATTTTAATCGATTTGAAGCGATCGCTACCTCTCAGAAGGCAATGGCCGGCAATGGCAAACTATCGAGAGTATCTTTGCCAAGAGAATTTCTTTTAATAGACCGTTTGAAACGATCGGCGTTAAAGCTGTACAGATCCCATATATCTATGGATATATGCAGAAGAGAACGCCTTGGATCATTTGGAGGGCCAGATACGCACATGAAGAAAAAGAATTGTACTTTGAATGAATAAATTACGTGCAACACGTACCTATTTCATTGAACAGGGTTAGGGCATGATTACAATTACGGGAGTTGATCGCACGGAATTTTGCGAGTCTTTATCCGATCTCCCGTAATTATCCGTAGTGTCCAAGCTATTCATTAAAATGTGTATGTTGTATATGTAATTTTTTTGTAATTAAAAGTACAAAAAAATAAAAAATGTAAATTATAAGTGTCTTATATCGATATTTATGAGAGATAATCATTATTGTAACAAAGCTGTAATTTAAATATATCTCTTTGTTCAAAATACAAAGGACAAAAATATTCCAAATAAATTTTGGCATATAAAAATAACACATTGAGATACATATCTCTCTCAAAATTATTTCAGTTAGCATCCAATTTCTCGTAAAATATTTAATATTTTCTAAAACAAATTCACGTTAAATATTCTATTTTTCGCATTAAGTAGCTTTTACTTATTACAGAATCTAAAATTTATAATTTATTTAATTTATTTAATAACTGTATTCACTATTTATATTTAATCCTGATATCATGTTTCTGGTGGGCATTGTATCAGTTGCTGTCGCCTTGCCTTTTATGCATATACCTATATATTTATATTAAGTGCATAATAAACTTACATATACATATATATATATATTTTTAGTATTTAATATTTAGTATTTAATCTCTTTTAATTTTTTCCTCGGAATGATCATACTAAATGTATCTGCGTTTTGTCGCGATCACAATTCGAAAAATAATGCAGAACAAGCAGCAGCACGCGTCACGACCTAACTGCTTGACAGTTACTGAGCGAATGACAACACGGCGATCTTTCATAACACAGCGCGCAGGAATGACAAGTATCACGGGAAAGGTGCTAACCATTTCAAAAGATTGCGTTGCGAGCGACTTTGTATACGCGCCGGATTCAATTTGACGCATTAAATTCTTGGTAAAAGTACTCGGCTCAACGCGTTTGATACGCTCAATACCGTACATCGCGCCGCTGTGTAGCCAAGAGCATCTGTCAGTGCCATTCACGCTGCAAGATTCAAACGAACAGATAGTGCAAGCTTCTTCGTGTGTCGTCACATTATCGTTTGATGCACGATCGTGATAGACGTTACGAGAAAAAGCGGTTATTTCTATATAGACAATTAATGATTTGCGCGATCATTTAACTCTCATTATTAATGAACTGTAAGCATATCGATGCTGCTTATTCAGAGAAATATATGTACAGCGATATCAGCAATTATTTCTTTAACGTGATGTTTGTAAATTCGAATATAAGTATTTTGCATTTTTCGTTGATATGTAATTTCATTTTCGGATTGTGACAAAAAAATGACGACCGAATGGAACGTTGGCTCAATAATTCAATTAACTAAAAGCTGATAGCTTATTAATAATGCTTATGATTAAAATTATCTCTGAGTAACATAATACACATAGTAAATATTAATTATAAAAAAATTTAATATTCGTAATACCGTGCAAAATCCCATGAAAATAATAATTGCGATCTAAATATTTTGGAATTGGAATTTCGTGTCAATTCTCAGAACGGAGCTATTAAATTATTGTACCTACAGTGATTATGGGACACGCTATATAACTGCGAAAGATTATTCAGTAAGCATCCGTGTAAACAATTTAATACGACGAGAAACATTGCAAATGTTATGAAACGTGCAAAGATAGCGGAAAATTATTACAGTGTGTTGCACAAACTCTGCGCTGATATATTTATAATTTTGTATTTCATTAAGCAAACAACCGTGTTTCTCTGTTTGGGCTTTCAACGTGCTCGGTTGGAAACGTACCGGATTCTGATGCGCGTAAATCATTGACACGTTGATATACACGTTGATATATCGGCAGCGGAGATGTAATTTGCCGCTTCAATGGTGAAATTTACAAAAAAAATTAAATGTTGCAATGATTGATTTAAATTCGAATATCTTATTATACGATACAAATGACGGATTGACGAAATTCAATTACTGCGTTGTTAATAATAAATTTTCGTAATCTTCTATTTGAAACGAAAAAGCATGAATAAAAATCCTTGATCCTTTGTAAAAATTAAACTTTCATAAAAGCGTCGATTTATTTTCGTTTAAGATTACTTTCAAATCCAATATTTTATGTATATATAGATATCAAAACGTGCACGGCAGCTAAAAAGGCGGCACTTTAGCAAAGGGCAGAAATTATAAAGAGCTGGAGCCTGAATGAAATTACTGCGAATATGCAAAACGTGAGATTACTACAAGATTAATTATCAGAACAAAGTGCGTTACAAAGGAGGATATAAATCACAGTCGTCGTCACAACGCTCACAATATTGAATCACGGTATTTCATTCGCGGGATAGCGCAGTTGGCCGCTGTTATAGGATTCAATAAAAAATTACACACCCATACGGGACAAAAGGTTAATTATTTAAACGCGCTGTCGGACCCGTTTGACAAAGTATCGCATGAGCGTGATTTATCACCGGCAAGTTATTATGGCGCGGAAACAAACGCCGACGCTCGGCGGTGAGAAACATCCGCTCGCCCGGAAAATATTTCGCTTCCGCGTCGCGCACTTGCAGCCCGGCTGCAAAAACTCCTCATTTTACACCCTCGCACTTCGCGAAGTTTTGTATCTGAAGTAATTACCCTTAAAGACTAAAGGTACATTTCATAAAGAATTACAGTTTTGCAGTTCTCTCAGAACTCAGCCGGCGAAGGATGCAGGGGAGATCCTCAAAAGATATTATTAAGAAAGAATTCGGTCGAAAGCCGAATTTTGTAGTAATTAAATTCCATTCGAAAAAGCTAAAAAGGTCTGTAATATTCGAATAAGCTATATAATATATAAATCATAATTTTTAAAAATGTTTTAAATTGTAGCTTGATAATCCTAAAAATTGATAAAATTAATAATTAAAATTTCAACAATAAAAAAACAAAGAGTATAATACATGCATATCTAAAATAATGAAACTGAAAAAAAAAAATGTAACGGGTAAACGGTATCACGCGGTTGAAAATTAAAATCCACTCGCGAGGAGAAGCCGGCATCCGAACGAAAGTGTGGAAAACAGAAAGCACGTTTTCCGGCCAAATATTTACGGAACGCTTGACCCAATTATGCTGCACAAAAGAATACTATAAATTTGATGCGGACATAGGCGCGTATTGAATGCTTATACGGAAAGAACGATTTTGTTGAAAGACCTAAAAATTTTACTAAAAACATATCTGAAAATAATTTTTTATTAAATCACCAAAATAATTTGTTGGAATGTTAAAACGGATAAGTATTGTTATAAAACGCTTTGATATTTTAGCAATCATTTTGACTTTCGCACAAAATAATTTTGATTATTGAATAAAAATTATTTTCAGATATGTTGGATTCAGCAAAATTGTTCTTTCCGTGTAAAAATTCATATAATGCAAACCGTATGTTTCTGCACAAATACAATAAAATTAATAAAATTCTTACATTTCTTTGACCACATTCAGAGCGAATTTAATATGTAGGCGGAGTTTTCTAAATAACAAGAATTTACCAACGTGTAAATTTGATTAGCAAAGACTTCAAGAAATATAAAAATTTCGCTGATGTTCAATACATTCAAGACTAATATTAAACGTTTTAAAAAGATTAATATTATTATCAATCTTTTTAATGCTGATCAATTTACAAATAAAAATTTTTTGTCATGATTATTTGAAATATTTATTTACGTTATCTATATCTACTGAACATACAGGTGCAAAGCATAAATGCTGGACACCCTATGTTCCGAAAATGGATACATTTATCATGAAAGTCGTCATCATATCTTCACCAGCAGCGCGCCGCATATCATTGTCACGGCTGACAGGACGGTTAAAAAATGTAGCTCGCAAATGAGCGTGGCCGATAAGTTTTCCATCGGATAAGTACGTGTTTAAATTATTAAACGGTACGAATTGCGCGTGCGGGTCGCATAATAAAACCCGACAATTTCATTCGAATAAGCGCGATCACGTAAATGGTCGCGAAATACATGCGAAAACGAGAGCATAAGTTATCTGCGCGCGATATGTTAGTTCTGAGTATTAATTCGCTATATATTATTCATACGGGGCCGCGCGCTCCGCTGCTGGCCGAATTATTCATACAACGTTGTAATTATGCGTTCGTCATTAGCCGAATTATTAGTCGATTAGCGGCCGACGATTAATCAGTGAGTGGTAATTATTGCGTGCGTTGGCGGGGTATCGGTAGCGCGTTTGTATGTCAATGGATTTCATTTCAGAAAAGGAGGATCGGTAAATCGGGTTCGACGCTTGGACAGACATTGTGAATTGCATCCCAGCTGATTATACATCACGTTAAGTAATTGCGTATGCACGAAGTCATTTATATATACGTATTCCACATACGAGAGAATACTAATGCGGACATAAATTGATACGTCCTAGCCAAAATTAATTATTTCTAATTTGACAGCTTATCGTTTCCGATGTTGCAACTTTACTGAGTTTCATTACGCGGGACAATCGAAAATTTATACCTCCATCCGCATTATTACTTTAATACGCGGGCCAACTCTTCGATTTACACTCCGATCGTCGTGGAATTGTCATGCAACGTAATTAGTATAGCATATCTACAGTTTAATTAGTAGCACATCTATCATGGTTTAATTATAGTAGCACATTTAAGCGTTTGAACACGTAAGGGAATGCATAATGATTGCACGACGGGGGGAAGGGGGGTCCGTTATTAATTCGCGCGATGACTGAGATCGACGACTTCACGCAGCGATGATAATCGGGAATGTGTTTCAACGGCCGGCGATCACCTTTACGACACGGTGATAAGGGAGCAGTGTGCGAGAGATTCGATGTTAAAACCCCTGCCGGTATTATCGGTGCAGATAAAGCACTATGTATGGCATCGTCGACTTTCACCGTCGGCACCGGGGAAAAATATCGCCGCGTTTATCTGCAGGCCGAGGGATCGTCAAATCGATCGAATTGATTTGTCCGCAAACTTCGGTCGAGTCACGGCCAATGATCTGTGCTATACTGACTTTAAACAGCATTCTTGGACATTACGATGATCGTCCAAAATGACAATAAAAAAATGTCATTGTACGGATCGCGATAACAATAATTATTGAAAAGACATCGTTTCAAGATTTCATCTTTAATGAGAAAAGTTGGCGCAGAGTTTTACTGTGGCTCGAACAAGCCAATTTTACACCGTATTTTTATCGATACAATTTATTAATAAAAAATTGTAGAATTATATAACCTCCATAAAAGAACGCCCAAGCTGAATAAAAGCTGAATAAAAAGTGAGTTTAAATATTTTACGATAAAATGTATAGACGTAACTTGACAAATATATTTTTCATTACGGTAGATTAAAATAATTTGTAAAATAAAATATTTTCTATTTATTGCTTCGAACAGCAATGTTTCAGAATATTTCGCAGAGGTGGACCCGACAGTTCATCGACAGTTCACCGAGCGAGAGCACGAGGAAGGGTAAAATGCAATAAATGTCTCCCCTGATAGTGTTCCAGTACTTTTCCGTGGAAGTTGTAGAAAGTTACTTGTCGCGCGAGTTCCCCATATCATTATTATTTAGTTCTCTATGAAAAAAAAAAGAAAAAGATAGCCAGTCGGAGGTGGAAAGTGTGCAATGTATCTCTCAGTTCCTCGTGTTTATTTCTCTTTGACTTTGTCTTTCCCTTTATTTCTAGTTGCTCTTCAATGCTCACCGCGGGCGCTGCAAGAAGCGAAAAAGCACACGAGCGCAGATAACTTCTCCTCGAGTCAAGAATTCCCTTTCTCACTTTTGATTATCTAGGATTTTATATGAGTATAACGAAACTTGAACGCGTTTATTTCCGAAGAACAAATTTAACAGAGTATACAATTGCTTACTTATTTACCAAGTTTTCGCTTCGCAAGTCTATGTTAAATAAAAAAATAATTTAAATAATAACTATATTTTAAAAATAGCATAAATTTAGAAATTTCTGGAATATTAAAAAAATTATTTTTTAAATTATATAATAAAATTTATATTAATAATTATGATACGAATCTTATTTTCTCTTAAGTGTTTTATTTTTTATAAAATTACTTTCCTCTATAATCTATATATTTACAGATATTCTTTAAGATACATGTTCGCTTTGAATAAAACATGCTATCAATATAAATTAATAAAAATCTACAAGTGATTACAGTGTTTATTCCGTCGATTACGTGAAGAGAATAAATAAATTAATCACACGCGAAATTTCACAAAGCTGTTACTGATGCAACCTCGTCGATTTTTTTTTTATTTCCAATCGATACAATGCAAAAGCGTCGACGCTATTAGGGGCAATAAATTACAATGTAACGCCTCCCTTGTCGAACGAGCTGCGGTATCGCGCGACTATCGTTCAGTCGATTACCCGGATATTGGATTTGCTCACTTTCCGCTCGCACGACCCTTATACATATGTATACCAAAATATTTGGAAGAAAAATTCACTCACCACAGACAGTCCCTTCTCGATCAGCAGACAAAGGCCCACCGGCACGGTAGAATCTGCAAAACAAATAAAATGAAAGGGGTCATTTATCGATCATACGGCTTTACGTCGCTTTCCCTTCGCGAATTTGTCGTTCCCTAATTCCGTTCTCTCGCTCTCATTCCCTTCTTCCCGCTGTTTTTCTTCCCCTTCTCACTTTTTCAAACCGGCCGAACATCGAAATGTGCAATCGGCCGGTCGACTAGGGCCGAGGGGGTTGAAGAGAGGAAGTGACAAGGGCTTGTCACTCGGAGTGACGATATAGAGTGAGAGAAGAGCGGAGAGACGGAGGAAGAGAGGAGGAGAGGCGAGTGTGTGGCGAAGGCTGCGCAGCGAGGATAAACGCTGCCGGTGATCGAGAGCGTCGCTCTCGATGCATTCGGTGGGTAGGGAGGACATAAAAAAAAGAGAGGAAGAGCCCCCGATATCGAGCTAGCAGCGACGAAAGCGTCTCGTCGATAAATCATCCAAAATAGCACTCGATATAAAGCGGAAGTACGATTGGGCGCCACGTACGCCGAGCTCCCGACGCGCACCCGGACCTTGTAAAAAACAATATCGTCCTCGGTTCCCAATTCTGCGGAATGAGAACGAGATGTACGTTGCGTAATCATTTATTCGTCTAAATTTTTATTGCAGGATCGTCTGCCGTTTGCTGCTGTGTCTTGCGCAAAGGAAATGTATTCTGGAATTTGCAGGAATTTTACGTTTGAAATTTAGTTAGATGCAGTATGAAAATAATTTTATAGCGGACTGTCGAATTAATTAAGTAGAACGCTCAAGCGAGATAACGCTATAAAAAGTATTGATATTCTAGCAACCAGCGTCCTACATAATTATTTTCAGACTCCTGCGTCTAAACTAAATTTCTAGATACTCCGGCAAAACCGTTCTTTTCGTGCCCTGTAACTATGGAGACGATATCCGATTATACACTTCGCACTTGTAAGCGTAGAGCCGCCGTTCGATATTAAATCGGATTCGCATCGTATACGAAATTACGCTCGGGCGGGATTATTCGAGAATCGATCCTAACAGCCGGATTTGACGAAATACAGAATTTCTCTTTTATTTTACGCCGTTCTTCTTATCGTTTCCCACAATCGTTTCCCGAATCGAGAGCGCTCGGACGCTTCCGAAGATTACGTGGATTTTCGGCGTGGATGGGCCATACGATAGCGGTCGGTGTAGCCCGGTGAGATTTCACCGCGAGAGTGGCTCGTCGTATTCTTCGAAGTATCGTCCGCGCTCTCCGGGATAAAATATGGGCGGAACTTAAATAAGTTTAAGAGATGCAACCGGATGATAGGCGAAACTCGCAGAATTGGGAACCGCGGAGGCATCGCGTCGGGGAGATCTACGCGAAGAAATCCGGAAATGTATTCGCTTGCGGCATCAAAGATTTTGATAGTACAAGTTACGGCATCTTAATGAAAACATTGACTTGTGTTTCCGAGATATCTAAATCCTTCCGGGAGACGCCAAGGAAATTAATATACATTGTGACTACAGTTATTACATCTAACAATGGAACTTTCATTAAAAGAATAGAATGCGTTAGTCTTTGTTTTAATAAAATCCTTATGTATTTTTCAAAGCTGTTTTTTAATATGAAATCCGAGCGTAAATATTTCAATTAATTTTGTTGTCAGACACTTCTGAATTAAATATCTACGACACGAGACTAATTTAGATGGCTTTATATATGATGAACAATGTGAATATTTTATAAAAGCTTCATACAAGAAACGTTATTATAGAAAATATAGGTCAGACATAATATCCTGCATAATTAAGTCATATATAGCTACACGCAAGTATCATGTGTTACAATAGCAACTGTACGCGAGTATTTTTGCCTCTGCGACTGTTATTAAGTGCGTGAACGTCGCGCTGAGCCCTGGTATGCTAATCCCAAATTAATTTTAGTTAACAAAGAAAAGAAGTCGCACGCTAACGCGCGCAAAATGCAAATCAGGCAATTAAGAACACATTAGTCACAATTAAAGGCTCTACAGTAATTTCTGTGTCGTGTAAACGTCTCTCTCTCTCTCTCTATCTCTCCGTCATTCCGCCAGAAAGTCGAGTCACTCTCGCGATTGATAGCATTCTCGGCTAATGATACGAGCGTTTCAACGCACAATGTATTTATCGTAACACCAGGGTATTTATCGTAAAATAAGATGCAAAATTAATTGCAAACGCGTCACGCACGGATTGCGATGAATCGCGCGCGCGGCTTTTGTATTCTTTCAATCAATTGAACGACTGACTGGAAGCTCATTCGAGACTTTACTATTTTGTGGATGCACTCCGATATAAACGCTATTATCACTTTACAGCTCAATAAACGTTTTCACGTTTTCCCGACGAATTTCTACATTAATTTGATTTATGGCAACAAATGTTACGCAAGAGGATTATCAAACCCGTTTACTTGTTGTCTACGTGCGTTGAAATTTACATCAGTGTCAATATATATTCCGCTGTTACTCCACGCGATAACAAATGCGTTATGAAAAATGATCGCATGCGAAAAGTATAATACGGAAGTAAAAAAAAACTGAATTTGAAAGATTAATACCATTTCCGATGCACATGCATGCACACGTCATTTATTTTTGTGCGCGCAAATGTTTTTTCAGCTTTCTATCTATTATGCCAATTTTCATTTACTTTTCCTCATCCCGCCGGACGTGCGTAGCATAAAAGGAAATTCAAGACCGGCCCGTTTCAGGGCGACGCGCGACGGGCGAAAATTTTAGACGATGATTGTTACAACATGCTAGCGTCGACTAATTACGAACCCTTTGAATTCAAATACGCTTCGCGAGTCACCGCTGCTTTTTGGCCTCGACAGGGGTGATTCCTAGGGCCGCTTTTTCGTGCAAATTACGTGCGCGCGGCCGTGCGCGAGAAAAAGTGCGGAGGCGTTTATTCGGTGAATTAAGCGCATCGTTCAAAGTGCATAAAAGCGCCCGGGAAATTGGAAGCACAGCCGCTTTGATAAGAGGATTGAAATAAAGCGACGAAAACAATCCCTTTAGCTCAACCGGTGAATAAGAGAGGAAGAGAGAAAAAGAAAGAGAGAGAGAGAGAGAGAGACAAGCCAATGAAAATATCTTGATCGCATCTTTATATTTATGTAACGTTCAAAATACACGAGCTAAAAAAAGAAGATTAAATAAACACAAGTTAAAATTTTGAAATGCTGCAGTCGATTTGACAAGCTGCTTAAGAAGTTTGTTCCATAATATTTGTAATATCAATGAATTCACTTCATAACAAATAAAATTTCATATAAAATTGTATAACATATCTATAAAAATATATATCTATAAAATTCAAAATAAAATTATTACGTGTTTACCGTCTCTAACTTGAAACGTTCTGCAATTTAAAAAGATACCAGCAGAACTTTTGATGAAATTGTCGTTACGTCTCTTCTGAGCGTAACTTGTAAACCCTTCCAATCGATCTTTGCTCAGATATCCGGAGATAGAATTTGAAAAGTATCGCGCGGCAACGAAATTTCTCTCTCATCTTTCTCATAATAGGACAGGTGACGGAATATATATATATATGTATATATAGGTATATGTATATTTACGCGAAAGTGAAAACTGATGGTAAATGCTCGAGGGATCACGCGCCGCTGTCGGAATATTGATAAAGCGGGAAATATATCGGTCCCAGTGTCTGACACTCCAATTTGGCGTTAATTAATGAAAACAAATGACGTCTCATATTTCGAAATACCTCCTACGATTTTTTCCCCGTCGCACGTTCTTGTATCTTTTTCCTGCTCTCTTCGACGATACGCCGCGGCGAATAGAAAAATTCGAAGAGAGATTTGAAATCAGGAGGGGAGGGCGACGAGGGAAACGAGACGGGGAATGTATAAATCCGGCTGATGTCGAGCACGGCTCGCTAATAGATATTAATGGAACCCTTTTCGTCGTGGAAATTCGCCCGGTTTTTCACACCGACCGCGGGGCATGATCGCGAAAGCTCTCAGAGCTCGCGTCATCCGAGAGAAATTATATGAGAAAAAAATGGCTTTGACGAGGTAACGGGGGAAGGGAGGTAGCGCGAGCGGGGTGGGATAATGGTCCACACGGGCAAATCGCGCGTAGCAAACCGAGCCGCGGTGATTGCGTCGCGTAATTTCGTCAGGGACGTATGCATTTTTTCTTTGATCTCCTTAAATTCCATTTGATACCCTGAAAACAATGTTTTACGTGTGACGGGTTTGTTTCACGTACCGGGTTCGGGCTGGATTTACGAATGATGAACGATCGCTGTTAAAATGATACGCCGATTCTGATGCTGCAAAACGGCATTGCGCGGCCGACCTCCGAGTGCATTTTATCGCACAAAATGCCGGAGAACGTCAGCGTCGAAAAATCGATGAAATATTTCGGTTCTGTTTGGCGATGCGCTTGTTTATTCTTAGTATGTTTGCCGTGCAGTACGTTATAAGATCCGATGTGAAAGTAAATAAGAGCTATCGACAAAACAGCTTTCGTCGTGGCAAAAGATGATTTTATTATGCCGGCAAAAAAAGCAAAAGAGAAAGAAAGACGAGATAATGAAAAACTAATTTTTATGTTTATTGTAACCTTTTAGCTGCCCCGTTTAAAATTGCAACCTGTCTACATTGAAAATTTTATTACAATCGAATTTCTATGTTAACTGAAAACAAAGTAATTCTTTATTTTATTTTTCGCATTTGTATTCAAATCACCGTCCGAATATTTGCGAAGTAAATATGAACTTTTTATATTTCTGTAAGCGCTATAATTTTTAATGATTTAACAAATAAATATTGTCATTAAAAATATTATGCGTTATACTTGCAAAAATTAAATATTTTGAATATCTCAATTATAAATAAAAATGAAAGTAATTGTAGTGTGCTTGTGATGAATAGCCATGAGTAGACAATAATAGCAAAATTCGAGTAACGTTACGGTATTGACGCTGGTTCAGAAGGGTCGGTTTTCTTTCAGAAAAT